GTGAGGTTTGGTCCAGCCACTCATTCTCTGTTTAACACACAAGGATTCCCAGTAGAGGTGAGAGTGCAGGTAAGTACTTGCTATGTTTGTCTTTATAAAATTTTCCATCCTCTGGAGTTTATAATTCAAGTCAAGGCAGCAGCATTATCATTTCCATCTATCAGTCACATTATGAAAACATATTTTAATCTCAAACTACTGCAACGTTATCACCTTGATAAGAGTGGACATTACACAAATCCAGCTCATTTGGCATTCCCAGCACACAGATCTACTTATTCTGAGCAAAGAAATTAAACCCAATCTGATTTATTATTAGTGTCTCCCCTCCTCAATTGTGTTTCAGCAAAAAACTGATTTCTCTGGCATTACATTAATGTGCCTACTGACTGAGTATGGCTCAATTTTACAAGGGAGAAGAATATTTAGTAGATCAACTTCTACCAGCAGAAACAGAGAAATCTTTCTTGTTCACACATTCTTCCCTAGGACTACAGAACATCCTTACAGACACACAACACTGAAGTGCACCTCAAACTGAACACCACTAGCACTGAGATGCAATACAAACTACTTCTGAGTGAAAATAAACCAGTTAAGAAAAAAATAATCAGAGTTGCATTAATGTTCATTTGGTATTGCAGACATTGATAAGGGAGACACAACTCTCTTTTGGAAAGCTGAATACTACAGAACCTTTATTTGGACACTATGCAGTTGACAGACCTTATACGCTTGCTATAAAGGTTAACATTAAAGTCTGGTAACTACTGTAAGAAACAGGATCCTAGACTTAAAATCCAAGCCATTGCTCTTGGTGGAGGAAAAAAAGGGACAAGCATGAAAGCATTCAATTAGTATAAAGTCATTGCTGAGAGAGAACAGCTCTGCTCTGCCACATCAGTGCTCAGCTGTATCTGGCCAAGTGACACAGCAAACTCATTTTAAAACCATGTGCACTAGGTTCTTCAAAATCACCACTAAGGTTCACCTGTGGTTCTACAATAATTGACTAATACACTGGTTATGACCCATTATCTTCTCCATTTAATACAACCTTGAATCATAGGACTATCAAGGAGAAATAGCTGCAAATAATGATTTAACAGCAGACTCACAAGAACCAAACACAGCCATGGCCCACTTTCTATAAACTTTTTAATCTAGAGTCCTTGTCACAGAGAGCTTATAATCTAAAAAGGACTAAAGGATGGGGAAAGACATATAATCCACAAACAGCCTGATCAATGTCATGGCAGCAACCATGGCAGTTAGGAGCTAACTAAAATGTAAGACCAAATCCAGCTAAGGCAGTGGCAAAGCTCAATTCCTGTACTACTGTGAACTCCTCCAAGGTACTGATGCCACAGGAAAATCATATACTGAAATTTCTTATAAAGCTTAGATTCTAATGAGTTTTCTGTTCTCTTTCAGACAATACCTGGCCTTTACCTACTGCCTTGTGTCCTATCTGGCTCTTCCTTGACGTCCTCTTTTCCACAGCTTCCATCATGCACCTCTGTGCCATCTCACTAGACCGCTACATTGCGATCAAAAAGCCAATCCAGGCTAGTCAGTACAATTCCTGGGCTACAACAGTCATCAAAATCATCGTGGTTTGGCTCATTTCAATAGGTATGTGAGACTTGGAGACTGGAAAAGGAACACAGAAGCTTTTCATGTTCAAAACAATAGGTGAAAGCATGGTAAAATGGAAAATTTGGCTAAGTAGTTTGGGTCAGCAGACCCTAACACCCAGGCTCACCTAAGTCAACTTCTTGGATCATACATAGCTACATCATAAAAATCTGCCTGAACCACTGCTCCTTATCAGGCTTACCAGAAAGGCCAAGGATTGAGTTGGGATAATCATCACTCTTCATGGTCCTAGAAGTTCCAAAATCAGAAGACAGTATTGGCATGCATAGCATGCCTCCTCAGAGAGCAAGATTTCATGTTCCCGTGGTGGTATATTCTGCCCCAAACACTATTTTAAGCAGCTGCTGCTAAAATGTGTGCCTTAAAATTGCTCTATGAAGCAAATACAGAAAGGTTAATTACTTATACCAAAGACTGAAAGATAAATGGATGGCTGGTGACATTCACCCTGAAGACTGAGACACACTGCCAATGCAGCATATAGTAAGGCTAATGTCTAACAAAAAAAACCAAAACAACTCAAAACAACAAACCCTGAACAGTTCATATAAAGGATTCATTAGGACCTGTTGCATTTATTAGCATCTCTGTGATGTGCTTGTGGCACCTCACCTGGCTTTAATGCTTAAAACAATAAATCTCTTAAATGAGCTAAGGAGGTAAAAACATTTAATTCAAATAACTTAATGCACACTGCAGACAGCCACAGTGCTGTGTGCTCTGTGTGCGAGAAAAAACAAGATTATTCTGTATTATTAAGGCCAATGATGTACAGGAGAATGGGTACATCTACCTTCTTGGCTGAGGCATAGATGCTTAAACCCAAAATTTCCGACTGGAAAAGAATTCTGGAAGAGCTGTGGTAATAGGAGATGAGATGTTAACTATCACAAAAAAAAAAGGAAACTTAGCATGACAAGACACTTATGAGTTGACCTTTTAATGCCTGATTTATTGCCATCAACCAGTGCTGTACTTTTCAATTTCTTTGTATCTAACAGAACTACTCAGCAGCTGAGCCAGGTTCTCTAAATCAAAGGTTAATTTGGTTCAATCTTCATTTTAAATGTTTGCTGTATCTGAAGGTGTGCCTCTAATTAAGAAAGGGATCGAGTGGCTGAGGGGTAACCCATTTTGCTCTTGCTGCCTTCAACCAACTTCAGTAAGCAGAGTAGTAGAGGAATACAGTAAATCCCTAGATCTCATTAAGTGGTATCAGAAAACAGCACAAATAACCTTCACCAGACAGCAAGGAACCTGTTGTTTTTGTTGTAATGTCAGACTGCTGGCAAATGAAGTACTGACTGTAATTTAGTGGTTATAAAAAATTCATTTTAAAGACAAGACTGCTAACATTTTTTTTACACGAGTGGTGAATTACAGAGCTAGCTAGCCTCATTTAAACACTCCTAAATATGCAGGAGAATTTAAACAGCAAATCCATCTCAAACACACACTGCATAATTCTGGCAACTATTTAACTATTTGTATATATGAAAGAGTCAAGCAGGGTGAAAAAAATCAGCTGTGTCCAGTCACTTGATGTGGTTAATTTAAGAGGGGAAAGACAAGATTTGCGTATTTATAAAACTGCCTTTCAAAAAGTTCAAAGGTTACCCTGGGGAAGAGAAAAAAAAAGGGCAGATGGCATTAGGGAAACACATTTCACTGGAGGAAAAGCCATACAAATTTTAACTAGAGTCAAAGCAATTCAATGTGTTTCACACTTGAAAAGTTGGCAACTGTATACTGCTTCCTCAATCACTGAGGGTTAGGCCCAATCTCCTCAGAAAGGACACTCTGTTAAAGCTCAGCTGGCCAAGACTTACAAAGTACTATTTGCTCAGTCACCCACGTGATGCTCTCAACAACTCACTGTGTCTGTCACCCTGTGCCTGCTCCAGAGCTCAGGAACTACCTTCTTAAGAGCCCCTAAGGCTTCAGGCCCAATGAGGAGATTGCAAGTGATTATCATATGCTGAAGTACTTGTTTTTCCTCCTGTAGGCATTGCAATTCCGATCCCTATCAGAGGCATTGAAGATGGAAATGGCAACTCTGCAAACATCACGTGTGCCCTGACGCCCGAGCGTTTTCATGACTTCATTCTGTACGGATCAGTGGCTGCATTCTTCATTCCCCTTGCAATCATGATCGTCACCTATTTTCTGACCATCCAAGTGCTGCGCCAGAAGGCCTACTTGATCACCAAGCCACCTCAGCGTTTCACCTGGTCAACAGTGTCCACAGTATTTCAGCGTGACACAACACCTGCCTCCTCACCAGAAAAGGTGGCCATGCTAAATGGCTCCAGAAAGGACCAGACTGTGTCCATGGAAATGCCTATCTGCAGGACATCTACGATTGGGAGGAAATCCATGCAAACGATAACTAACGAACAAAGGGCGTCAAAAGTTCTGGGGATTGTATTTTTCCTTTTCCTGTTGATGTGGTGCCCATTCTTCATAACAAACATAAGTTCAGTTCTTTGCAATTCCTGCAAAAAGGAGGTTTTTCAAAAGCTTTTGGAGATATTTGTTTGGATAGGATATGTATCCTCGGGAGTGAACCCTCTTGTGTATACACTCTTCAACAAAACATTTAGGCAGGCTTTCAGCAGGTATATCACTTGCAACTATCGGACCACAAAGCCTAGCAAGGCCCTTCGGAAGGGCTCCAGCAGAATCTCTTTCAGAAGTTCTGTGGCAGAAAATTCCAAGCTCTTTGTCATGCATGGGATGAGAAATGGGATTAACCCCATCATGTACCAGAGCCCAATGAGGCTGAGGAGCTCACCCATCCAAGCATCATCAGCCATTCTGCTGGACACATTGCTGCTCACCGAGAACGAAGTTGATAAAACAGAAGAACAAGTCAGCTATGTATAGTGGAATGGCAGCCATGTCCATATCATTGCATTCCTGTATTATTCTAGGTAACTGTGCTATAAGAGGGTATAAATACTATTGTTTTCTGTTATTTATGCAAGCAATATCTTATAAATTTATATTAATTCCTCTCCTCCAAAGTCTCCTCTACTTTAACCCCAACCCTATGGTGGCACCCACAACTTCATTCTGTGACAAATGACTCCTGCAGAACTATAGCCTACAGAAGAGGGAAATAAATAAAAGCTAGATTGGTTTGAGTACCTGACTTCAGTTCTCATCATCTTCAGTCTCTTCAAAGCACATCTTTATAAGAAAAGCATTTCTGTACTAACACTACTTTAACATTCACTCTGGCAAGAAGACAAAACTCTGTAGGCTGATGCTCTACAATGGAAGTAGCAGGGGGATACAAGCTTGCTGGTTTTAACTTAAATCTCTGTGAGCAGACTAGCACACAAGCTCACTGAATTCCCTCCCACAGATACATTCCTCTGCTGAGACTGTGTATCCACATAGGAGCTTTTCTTGATCTCTGAGGGTATGTAAATAACAAGCAGAATTACTCACTCCAGAGGCCAATGTCCGTGCCCATTCCACAAGGAATGAGAAAAAATTACATATGCAGAAATCATCTTTTTACTGTTGGGGTAGGCAGAATCTCTTACCCACCTGAATTTCATCTGCATTACACTCACATATGCATAAGCCAAGAATTGTCAGATTTGTCACAGAAAACTGCCCTTTGTTCTTTTCATACCAAGAAATGTAAATATTTAATCAAAATGGGACGATGATCATGAGTAAAACAGGACAGGCAGTGCCTGGAACATCCCTATAATTTATATGAACAAACTTCCTTTTTTATGACCATTGGGACTTCAGTGAAATCCTTCCCTGATGCAATGCAGTTCACTGAAAGCAGGAAAATCACAGACAGAATAGCTACTTCACGTGAAAGCTACTTCACACGAAAAAAAGACAGCAGAGACAACAGTACTATCTATACCTGCACATATTCACAGTTTAGCTCAGCTCAAAATTATTTAATTGGACTAATGGCAAAGGATTACAGGTGCCAATCTGCACTCCCTCAAACATGCTCAAGACATGAGAGCACAAAATTCATAGAAAGAATTGGTTCTCACAATCCATAAAAGTTACCAGAATCTGCCATATGGGAAATCAGAAGCTTCTGACACTTCCAGCCCATCTTCCCTGGGGAAAGGAACTCGGATTTCTCCAAAGTACTGGAGTCCTTACAGCAAGCAGCCAGCTCACCATTTTTCCAATACTTTCCATTGCTGTAAAATTATCAGCTCTGAGCTTTGTTTTCATTTTTAGTGTTTTCACATTCTTCAGTTACACACTAAAATTATGTACATCAAAAGGTTTAGCTTTGTTTCTCATCTGCAGAGCATAAAGTACTAAAGATAAATATATATAAATAAGTGTTGGAAGGGCATGTTAATTTAAAACATATGCAACCTCAAAACAGTCTACTGTAACAAATGCCAGAGAGTTCCAGGAGAAGCATTAAAAATACATCTGTGGTACTTGCTGTAAGCAGTCTCCTTCCTCCCCTTTTCGGTGATAGGCACTAGCCCCTTGATTCAGAATAGGCTCTAACTGCTCTTACTCCTCTTTTGTTAATCAGAATTTGTTTAAGAGGATTCTGCAACTAAAATCCAGAACTGATGCATTGCTACAGCTGTGAAAGACACCTACACTTGAAAATATTTGAGAATCGAAGGCTTTTAATAAGATCTTGATTACTCTGAAGCCCAAGAGGGAGGAAGTAGGAATAAAAACCTCACAAACCCTCCAAAACTTCCAGGTATGTAGCTGAAAACAGCACAGACTCATTTAACCTAGGGCAGGTGCTCTGGAACAAGGGGAAAGTGTGATCACACCTGTGCACAGACTGATCACAGGGCAGAACTTAAAAGCATCATTTGCAACGCAGGAACAAGCCTTCAGGGGGAATAACAGGTACAGCACTGTTCTAGAGGGGTTATTGCCCAGCAGTCAGAGACCAGGAAGCAGTCATCTTTGAAAACTCCCTTGACAGTTAAATAACTCCACGTTAATAAAACAAAAATTGTTCATATAGCAGCTGGCAATCACCCACTTTGAGCCACAACTTAAATTTTCCCTTTCCATCAGAAACATCATAGCTGCCACCCACATCCTGAAAGACTGAGAGGTAACTTAGCTCTCTCCTGTCTGACCCTGTTCTTGTACAGCTGTTGGTCTGCAATCTGTCTTACACGAGGTGTACATTTGCCCTAGGTGTCCCATACAGAACAATTCCAGGGCCTCTTTGTAATCAGTGCTTAGACTCCACCAAAAGGAAACAATCATTGAAAGCATCTCACCTAACAAAGATGTGTTTTCTCAAGCCAGCACACAGGTTTCTCAATTTTCATAACTAAACAGAAGCTCAACATGTTCCAGTTGCTGAATTTAGTCAGTCACAACAACCCTCAATCAGAAGGACTAGTGACTAATCAAAAATCCAGTCTTCCTATAGAGAAAGGAAATTTCTCCATAGACAGAAACACATCAGCAAGAAAACATGAACATTTCACCTAATATGGTAAGTTAAAAAGACATTGCTCGCTCACTGACCAGCACACAAGCTGAGAATTCAGGTAACAGCCTTGGAAAGCAGGAGGACAGAGTGAGATGGATGAAGAGAAGATTCAGAACTATGCAATAAAGACAACATAATGGACAGCAGAGATCTTGTTTTAGCAACTGTATCTACAAGAACAGATCTGAACAAAGACATTACCTTCATTAGCAAGACATGATGAAAGGGTCACTGCAAGCTACTGTAAGAAGGCACAAGTTTGTTGTACGGTGACTAAGGACAACACTGCCCATGTGGTGTGGACCAAAGAGACAGGAAGGAAAGGAGGCTCAGCACTACATCCATGAGCATCCATCTCTAGCTAGCACAAATTTATAAAATGTATTTTTACACTCTGGCTGTGAGGTGAGAGTATTTTTATAGCCCCCAGCTTCTCTTATAAAGATAGCAGCCTAAATAATAACTGATAAAAGCTTTGCAGTCACCAGGTAGCAGAACACAAGACATTTCTACAGTAGAAAGTGGTCATGCTCTTCCCATTTAACACACACACACAAAAAAGGGATTCCTTTCTCTGGAGCAAAATGCTCCCAATTCATTCAGAATCTGACCCACACCAAATCAAGCACTTGGACAGTTCTATGGCCTCTATACACTCCATAAAACAATAACTTACAGAGGTACCGAGATCAACTTTTCTCATTATCACAAAAACTTTTATCTGGCATTTTTGCTTTCTTTTTAAACTCCAGAGAAGCAAGACAAACAAAAGTCAAAGCTGATCTGCAACATCCAAGACCTATGGGAAGAAATACACTTTAGAAGAACAATGGAAAAGTATGTTGTTTTTCTTGTTTAATTATTTAAAATACATTAGGAGATACTTAGTCAATGTTCTGGCTGCATATCTAATTAAAAATTATAGCACAGACATGGACATAAGGACTCAGCAGTCTTGTAGAGAGGAAAATAATGGAGTTTGAAGCCTAAGAGACTAAGTGCCTTAAAATGTAAATAAAGGGACTACCTTAAAAAACTCAACTAAGCAAAACAATAACAACAACAACAAAAAACCCTGAACAGACAAAACCAATCAAAACCAATCAAAGAAAATCCCAGCCTTTAAGTCACCCTGAGAAACAGAGAAGCAAGAAATTCAGCTAGTCTCAACTGTGGTGAAAAAAATGCATTTCACAAAGCCAGTCCTAAACTATCTGGGGTTCTAAAAGCTTCAAGCCTTTCATTCAGAGTCTATCAGAAAACCTAGAGGCATCTAGAAAAAATGTATTAATCACTTATCTTGTATCTTCCAAGTGTAAAACTCTTCCTAATCCTATCACATTTGGCCATACAACTATCAATTTTCAAATGCAAGTACAGCTAAAAAAATCCAGAGTTAAGCAGAAGTCAATGCACTGAGAAAAGAGACTCATGCTATAAAGCTGTTCACCAGCACATGAGAGGCACATATGGTATTTTCATAGTGCTTCACAGAAAGTGTGGTTTTCCTACACCCTTTTCTTACTGTGGAAAAGTCCACATCACTGCAAGGTGGTATAGGAAAGCCAAAGCATTACCCCCCGCAAATCTCTTTCTAGGCTGCCATATGTAACATCAGACTTAAAAAGCAATACGAGCAGAGTAAACCTGGTAGAGGCTCAGGTAACAACCTGGGACACTGGAGCCCAAAGAGGCAGAACATTTGCCAATGTGCCAGTACTTCCCAGAGCTCTTCTGGCTTTCTGCCTTGCCGCTGGGGACAGGAGTCCCAGAGCTCTGGCCAGTTCTCAGAACTGAGGAGTCCGAGCTCTGGCCAGTTCTAGGAACTGAGGAGTCCCAGAGCTCTGGCCAGTTCTCAGAACTGACTTAGTATTACCATGAAGCATTAGATTTCTTTCATCATATTGATAAAGATGCCTACATACAACTTCTACGAAGAACTACTTTGTTCCACTTCCCCTTTGGCTCTCTAGGTAACCATCAACATGGCAAAAACAATGGTCAGAAGACAAGTAACTCCCATAATTTTGCTTTGGCGTGACTGAATAGTGTTGGAGTGTAAACAAAACCCTTTTAATCTTTCCTACGCAAGAATTAACAGGCAGGTATGTTTCACTAAATTCCTCTTCTTCACATATTAAAGCACTGCAAAAGTCACTGGTACAGATCACAGTAGAGTGACTGTCAGCCTCATACTCAATTACCCAAATAATCTGCCATCTGCCTTCTGGATAAAGATAGGCTAGAGGAGTTAAAGAAAACAAATTGTCTGAGTCTTCCTGGAATAAAATCCAAGTATCTGATCTGTTTGCCTTAAAACAAATATATAGTGTTAAAACACCAAAGGCTATGTAAACACAAAGGACACAAAAGCAGGAAACATTACTATTTCACTTGCAACATCCTAAAATGAAAAACTGAACACAAGCCATGCAGTGTTCTCCATGTTTGGGTAGCTTACACTTATCAGCTGAGACTACACCTTCCTTTCAGGACTCTCTGGAGGCTGCATTGTTCCCTCTTCTGCCCATACCCTTTTCCCAACAATACTGCACCAAGGCAAAAGTAGCATCTTAAGTCCTACTTGCCCATGACTCTCATTCCCCTGGACTTAACAACTGCTGTGAGAGCATTAAACCATTTTAGTTCAT